GCACCCACATGGCAGCTAACAACTGTCCATAATTCCAGTTCCAGGGGATCTGAAAGCCTCTTCTGTCCTCCGCGGGCACTGCATGACATGGGTGCACTTACCTACGCACATACACATTACATAAAAATAATAAAATAAAATATTAGAAAGAAGGAAGGAAGGAAGGAAAGAAAGGGACCTGAGTTTAGTTCTCAGCACCCTCATGGGGCGGCTCACCACCACCTCTAATTTCAGCTCCAGGGGATCCAATACCTCTGGCTCCACAGGCAACCTGCAGTCATGTGCACATATGCATCACAGACACATAATTTAAAATAAAATAAATCTCAAGAAAGAAAGACTAGAAGGCCAGGGGGACTCTAGCCTTAGCGCCTTCGAACTTGCCAGTTCCTTGTACGATACGCTCCGGATCTTTGCCTAGCTGGTCCCTTCTTGTTCCAGGGTCAACTATCCAGGGACACTTTCCCTGATGCCAAATCTATAGATACAGGTATATATAGGTAGGTTGCTATCTTCCCAGTCCTGCGGCTACTGGCCTGTGTTGTCTCTTTGCTCACAGCTCTTGTCAATTGAAGAGTATCTTATGTCTGTTTCTCCATCCTGACCAGCCTCCCAGAAGAGCAGCATCTTATCCACCAGGTTCATTACTGCATCCTGCCATCAGTGACCACTTGGGAAGAGGGTTCTTGGTTGGACCCTGTGCCCTTCCATGTGCCACTCTATACACGGCCATCTTTAAAGCACCTGGGTACAGATCAACAGAGTTAAACTCAGGATAACTGGAGCTCTGGAGCCATGGCTGAGGTTCCCAGGGAACGCAAAGGAGGCCAGAGGCCTCCAGCTGAAGCAAAGCAGCAGAGACAGAGGCAGATGCAGAGGTGGGGGTGGAGGAGGTAGCAGAGGCACTGGCAAAGGCCCCCCTTGCTCAGCGTGTTCCTCAAGAAACCATCACTGTTCCTCTCTGTGTGTGATGATTCATGCCATCTCTCCAGGTTCAAGGGCACCTCCCACAGAACCTTGACCCCTGCACAACAGGGCACAGCAATGATGGAGAAAGGTGGTCGCGCCCCCATCCACCAGTGAGGATTCTGGAGGGTGCCAGCTGAGGCAAGGGGTTTGTCATGGGTATACCTGGAGAACAGGGGGCTGAGGTTGCAGGGGGTGCTCTCTGATGTCCAACAGCACCCAGTGGCTAGAAAGCAGGGCTAGGCCTCCTGAGTTCTAGGATCTTGGGTGCTTACCTGGTACCCTAACTGAGCGTCAGTTTCCCCATCTGTACAGCAAGGGATTTGGGGAGGGAGATTTTAAACCCCCTCCCTTTTCTTCTTTTTCTGTGAACTTCAGAAATGAATTTTAAGTGAAGCAACGCTGATTAGGAAGATAATGTTCAAACCTCCCTGTCACCAACACTGATGATACCTACAGTTTTCAAACCCTGGCCCCGCCCAAACACTATCCTGTAGCACACCTCACTACCAAAGGGTTTTTCTTGCTTTTCAGCTAGACACTGAGGCTCCAGAGAGGTTCACAACTTCTCTTGAGTCTCACTACAAGTGAGCATCAGTGTCACGGTGACATCCCCAGCCCTATCCCTTCTACAGTCCATACCATTTCACTGAAACCTATGTCCGGATGCCCACATACATTCCCACAGCCTGTCTCAGGCCCAGTACCTTCATGTAGGGTGCTCCTAACTTCAGCTCAACTTAGATGCGTAGATGCAGTAAGTGAAGGTGGCACACAGATGGGGCCTCTCTCTCTCTTTTTCAATTGATTGATTGATTGATTGATACTGGGAATTGAATCTAAGCCCTCATGCATGCTAGGCAAGTGCTCTACTACTGAGCTCCTCCTCATTCTTTATTTTGAGACAGTCTCACTAAATTGCCTAAACTAGCCAAGGCAGTTCTTGAACCTGGGATCCTCCTGCCTCGGTCTCCTAAGTGTCTAGGGTTACATAAATGTGCCACCACACCTGGCTAGGGACTTTTCTCTGATCCCCCCAGGGCCACACCCTTCTTGACAGCCCCCCTCTTAGTGGTCCTGCTTTCCTCCTATACGTTCAGACCCCATCCCAGGGCTGAAATCAAGGCCCAGCCTCTGATGCAGCCTCCTGGTTATGGCTGCTGAGCTTCATGGGGCCTTTCGTCTCCTAGTACACGAAAGGGCACATAGATCACAGTCCTGTCCTACTCCTCTACAGGGACCAAAGCAAACCAGAGACATGTTGTCCTTACAGACAGTGAGTTGTCAGTAAGTGTCAAGTCCCCTCATTAGCCTCTCAAACTTGTTCCACAGACTAGTGGGTTTTTCTCACTCTGACCTTTCCAACCCTTTCCATGGAGAACTCAACACTGTCACCAACAACTGTCCAACCAGAGGTAGGCTGACATGGAGGTGAAGCACAGATCTGAACTACTGGATGGAAGCCAGACCCCGTGTGTCTTAGCTCACTGTCGCAGGGAAACTGCTGTCCTCATGTCTAAAGTGTGCATGATGGTAGTTACCAGGAACCCAGGTTTGCTGAGGAAGGTAGCAAGCCTCATACAGAACCCAGAACAGTGCTGCGTTCACAGTGAGCAAAGCACCAGCAACTAGCATCCACACCCAGCTCCTGAGCCCACTCCTGCTTCACATCACATCTGCTGTCCTCCCTCCCTCTGCCTCTCCCTCCCCCACCCATCACTGTATGGTCCCGTCCCGTCCCCCCCCCCACACACACAGCAGCCTGTCACAGCAGCCGGACTTCTGTAGAGGATGCGCCTCCAGGGCCACTGGGTGGCCACAGCAGAGAAGACTCCGCAGCTACCCTCTCCCTATACAGAGCCCCTTCTGCTATCCATGAGTTCAGGAAGGCAAGGAGGAACTGTACAGAGAAGCCGGCCCCAGCACCCAGAAGCACTCACCTCCAAGTGTGGAGCCAGATAAGTCTGTGGTCTTCCCTTCCAGGGTGCTGTGTGGGGTAGTACTGTGCCAGTCAGGCTGGTAACTGCCACAAAGTATCTCTTTCTTCCAACCACAAGATGCTGATGTGAGACTCTCCTCTCAGTTGCTCAGCACTCCTGCCAGCACAGCTGCACACTGGGCACCTGATGGCCTGGGTGTAGACCTTTGCCCTCAACCTCACTAATGACATCTGTAAAGACTCCAAATGATTTCCAAATGGGGATCGATTTGGAATGCAGAGGTTAGGACTTCAGCACATCTGTTTGGAGGGACACTTCCCCCCATACTACCCATAATGCTCTCCCATCTTATTCAATCCTCCCAAGAATTGAGGGACTACTATTATCTCGGTTTTTTAGGTTAGGAAACTGAGGTTAGAGAACTGACATAATTTTTCCACAAAGTCACAGCTGGACTAGGAGGACTAGGACACAAAGTCAAGCCAAATCCTAATCTCTCCATTCAACAAACCTTGGGGGGGAGGCGGGGGCATTGCCTTAGACTCTTGGGAGGTAATTGATAGCAACAGTGTCTCCATGGAACCTTTGATCTTAGGTGGGAAGACTATCCAAATTTAAGATACACTGTTACTAACTGGGAAATTCGATAAAAAGAAACAAAAAGGGAATCTATTTAGCTCTGATGTCAGCAAAACGCTTAATTGGGGAAGGAATTTTGGTTCAGGCTTGAAAGAGGAGAAAGAGCCAGCTCTTCCAGGGGTAGGGAGCCAGCAGACTCAGAACAAAGTGCTTGTTGTGTATGAGGACCTGGGTTCTATCCCCCAGAACCCAAGGATCCTGAAGAATGGCACCCTTCAATAGACTTCTGGTTTCCACATGCATGCACACATACATGTACCCGCACACATGAACACATACATACACACACATT